ATCATCATCATCATACCAAGCGTCCGTTAATCATCATACCAAGCGTCCGTTAATCATCATACCAAGCGATCTTTAATCATCATCACACCAAGCGTCCGTTAATCATCATACCAAGCGTCCGTTAATCATCATACCAAGAGTCCGTTAATCATCATACCAAGCGATCGTTAATCATCATACCAAGCGTCCGTTAATCATCATACCAAGCGTCCGTTAATCATCATACCAAGCGTCCNGTATAATGCCCTCAATGGGGTATAATGCCTGTCTCTTATACACATCTAGATGTGTATAAGAGACAGGTCTGACACGTTATGTCTGACACGTTATGTCTGGTGTGTTATGTCTGACGCGTTATGTCTGACACGTTATGTCTGGCACGTTATGTCTGGCACGTTATGTGTGGCACGTTATGTCTGGCACGTTATGTCTGGCGCGTTATGTCTGACACGTTATGTCTGGCACGTTATGTCTGGCACGTTATGTGTGGCACGTTATGTCTGGCACGTTATGTCTGGCGCGTTATGTCTGACACGTTATGTCTGGCACGTTATGTCTGGCACGTTATGTGTGGCACGTTATGTCTGGCACGTTATGTCTGGCGCGTTATGTCTGACACGTTATGTCTGGCACGTTATGTCTGGCACGTTATGTGTGGCACGTTATGTCTGGCACGTTATGTCTGGCGCGTTATGTCTGACACGTTATGTCTGGCACGTTATGTCTGGCACGTTATGTGTGGCACGTTATGTCTGGCACGTTATGTCTGGCGCGTTATGTCTGACACGTTATGTCTGGCACGTTATGTCTGGCACGTTATGTGTGGCACGTTATGTCTGGCACGTTATGTCTGGCGCGTTATGTCTGACACGTTATGTCTGGCACGTTATGTCTGGCACGTTATGTGTGGCACGTTATGTCTGGCACGTTATGTCTGGCGCGTTATGTCTGGCACGTATTGTCTGGCACGTTATGTCTGGCACGTTATGTCTGACACGCTATGTCTGGCATGTTATGTCTGGCCCGTCATATCTGGCACGTTATGTCTGGCACGTTATGCCTGGCATGTTATGTCTGGCACGTTATGTCTGGCACGTTATGTCTGGCACGTTATGACTAGCGTGTTACGTCTGGCACGTTATGTCTGGCACGTTATGTCTGACACGCTATGTCTGGCATGTTATGTCTGGCCCTTTATGTCTGGCACGTTATGTGTGGCACGTTATGTCTAGCACGTTATGTCTGACATGTTATGTCTGGCATGCTATGTCTGGTACGTTATGTCTGGCACGTTATGTCTGACATGTTATGTCTGGCATGTTGTGTCTGGCACGTTATGTCTGGCACGTTATGTCTGGCACATTATGTCTGGCACGTTATGTCTGGCACGTAATGTCTGGCACGTTATGTCTGGCACGTTATGTCTGGCACGTTATGTCTGGCACGTTATGTCTGGCACGTTATGACTGGCACGTTATGTCTGGCGCGTTTCAGAGTTATGTTTTGCAAACGTTTAAAACGAGTACAAATTTTCCACTACCAACAATATTTGTATACATATATAAGCGAAAAGAGAATTTATATGCACAGAAACACGATAAGGAATTATAATTATGTTCTGAACATGTACTTAGAACATATACATACAATGCTCAGAATATACATTTACTGAAAACATATACATTTATGCTCAGAGCACATATTGAGAATAAAAAAAATGCTTATGCAGCAGCTGTGGCCTACAGCCCGAAGAGCTGACGCGATTAAGTAGGTCGAGAGCTCTATACAAAAAAAAATCTAATCTCGGAACGGACGACAATCCTGGCTGTGACACGACGCCGAAAAAGCACATCAGGTAATAACATCCGATCTTCCATCACAATGGCAATACCCAGCACTACAATTAGAGTTCCTCGACCCTTGGCTGACTGACAGCCGCGAGAAAGTTTTAGGCGGGGGACTTGAGTAGTTCCAGCCAATGCTTCGTATTTTAGACGATGGCAGCCAAGGCTACGTATTTTGGGCGGTGGCCAGTCAAGGCTTCGTATTTTAGACGATGGCCAGCTAAGACTTCGTATTTTGGCGGTGGCCAGTCAAGACTTCGTATTTTGGGCGGTGGCCAGCCAAGACTTCGTATTTTGGGCGGTGGCCAGTCAAGACTTCGTACTTTGGGCGGTGGCCAGCCAAGACTTCGTATTTTGGGCGGTGGCCAGTCAAGACTTCGTATTATGGCGGTGGTCAGTCAAGGCTTCAAAAGTGCACTGTTCAAATTAACAGAGAAAACCGGTCTGTCCGGCGTTCTAGTGGTCGGTCGCCACGTGAAAATAGACTGTTGCGCTTTTTTTCTCAATTTGACACGGTTTTTAGATTGAAAAACGGCGAAACAGTGTTTTTTCACGGGCCGACCACTGAAATGCCGTCAAACGGTTTTATTTTGTCTTTTTTGAACATAGTGGCATTGCGGCCAGTCAAGACATCACAGGTGAGGTGGTTGCCAGTCAAGACATCGCATATATATTTATTCCACCAATAGTTTCAATAGCCTCATCCTAATGCTGATTTAATCCTCTTACATGGCAAGATTTGAATGAAATGAATCAGATGTTAGGTCCTCTGCGAATCTTTATGAGAGAATAACGTAACAATTTGCCGTTGATCCTGCAGCCAGCAAATGAATATCCGGCATCGAGTTTAGATGAGCGTGAAATTACAGGCTGCGGAGGTTCAGCTTTCTAAGTCGCATCCTAACATAACCTAAGTGCATTGAAATCCTAACATGTTATTAAGGAATACAAGGGCTGTAAACCGACCGTGAAAGTTCAATAAGGATTATTGTTATATTCATAGATAATGGGGTATATGTATAATGCCAACAATGGGGTATAATGCCCACAATGGGTTACAATAACCACAATGGGGTATAATGCCCTCAATGGGGTATAATGCCCTCAATGGGGTATAATGCCCTTAATGGGGTATAATGCCCTCAATGAGGTATTATGCCAACAATGGGTATAATGCCCACAATGGCCGGGGTATGATGCCCTCAATGAGGTATAATGCCCACAATGAGGTATGATGCCCACAATGAGGTATGATGCCCACAATGAGGTATGATGCCCTCAATGAGGTATAATGCCCTCAATGGGGTATAATGCCTGTCTCTTATACACATCTAGATGTGTATAAGAGACAGGGTATGAGGCCCACAATGAGGTATGAGGCCCACAATGAGGTATGATGCCCACAATGAGGTATGATGCCCACAATGGGGTATAATGCCCACAATGAGGTATGATGCCCACAATGAGGTTTGAGGCCCACAATGAGGTATAATGCCCACAATGAGGTATAATGCCCACAATGGGGTATAATGCCCACAATGAGGTATGATGCCCTCAATGAGGTATGAGGCTCACAATGAGGTATGATGCCCTCAATGAGGTATGACGCTCACAATAGGGTATAATGCCCTCAATGAGGTATGAGGCCCACAATGAGGTATGAGGCCCACAATGAGGTATGATGCCCACAATGGGGTATAATGCCCACAATGAGGTATGATGCCCACAATGAGGTATGATGCCCACAATGAGGTATGATGCCCACAATGAGGTATGATGCCCACAGTGGGGTATAATGCCCTCAATGAGGTATAATGCCCTCAATGAGGTATGATGCCCACAGTGGGGTATAATGCCCACAATGGGGTATAATGCCCTCAATGGGGTATAATGCCCTCAATGGGGTATAATGCCCTCAATGGGGTATAATGCCCTCAATGGGGTATAACCGTATAATGCCCTTAATGGGGTATAATGCCCTCAATGGGGTATAATGCCCTCAATGGGGTATAATGCCCTTAATGGGGTATAATGCCCTCAATGGGGTATAACCGTATAATGCCCTTAATGGGGTATAATGCCCTCAATGGGGTATGTATAATGGCCACACAACTTCTTGTAGAAAGCCACTTCCTGCAATCAGTCGAGCACTGCATGGATAGCCACGCATGGCTTCCCACTCATATTAAAATATTCCTATGTACGTTGAATTAACTTAATCCCTGCTTCGCAATGATGCTGTCTCAAAATGAACATTTTAGTTATGTAGTCATCCGATTCCCAGGAACATTCCATGTAGCCCATCTCAAGGTCTTCTTCATTTATTGAATGCGATTTAGGACCCAGGGATAAAAACAATCTTGGATTTGATGAGATGTAGTATTGATGATGGAGGCCTTTAGCATCTGTAGATATGACAGTCTAAGCATGCAGTGCGTGGTTTCCGTGCAATATTATTTTCTATTTTAATAAATTATTTCATTGGTTGGTTGTTAATTTTCAATTTTGAAATTTTTATTTATCGCATTGGAAGTCAAATTATGCCAATTGGTGGCAATATTTGTACGAAGATACGCAGAAAATAACTTCCTTAAATGTAAAAAAAATTGTTGAGAAAAAATTACTTATTAAAACAAGAGGTTAGCAATATTATTGTATTTTCCATTATTTCTCAAACGTCATTGGATTTGTTCCGCTGTCGGAAATAGAAATAGAAGGGAAAAAATTCGACCATAATTCGATCGAAAGTAATACCGGAAGGAAAATGTATTGCAGTGCCACACAAGGACGTCCTGTGACATATAGGAGCTGTCACCAATCAGAGTTACAATTCTGGTGCCTACCCGACGACGTGATAACATCACGTTATGAATGTTGTCACGAATCATCACGAACTTCAAACGTGATAAAATCCCGTTTTGACATTATGAATGGCTACCATTAGCAATAATTAAGAATGTATTTGAATTAATAATTTATAACTACACATTAATATCACGAAGCAACCATGAGTAAACATTACCTGATCGTGTGACTCACTCTCATTTCTTCCGTTAATATTACTAAGCATAAACATGAGTAAACGTTACCTGATCGTGTGACTCAGCCTCATTTCTTCCTTTAATATTACTAAGCATAAACATGAGTAAACGTTACCTGATCGTGTGAGGAAGTTGAACCTGGCATGTTTGGTGATGTAGGGGGAGTTGCCGGACATCATGATGGTGGAGTCGCTGTCGCTGTGGTAGCCGCTCACGTCACTGCCTTCATCGTCGTCCGCCATCAGGTCGTATCCAGTCTCTTCCAGGGCCTCACGCAGCATCTCCAGCACCTGTCACGCAGGGACATGCACTGTTATTATCGTAAAGGACTTACACGTACTCATCTCTGCGTGAAAGTTCCAATACAGGTTCGTTCATCACTTACACGAGTAGCCTTAAGTAGCCTGGCTCTCCACGCACTCGTAGCCTCAAGTAGCCAGGCTCTCCACGCACTCGTAGCCTTAACTAGCCTGGCTCTCCACGCACCCGTAGCCTCAAGTAGCCAGGCTCTCCACGCACTCGTAGCCTTAACTAGCCAGGCTCTACACGCACCCGTAGCCTCATGTTGCAGAGGAAATGGATTTACTGCTGCATATATAAATGGACTTATATAAATGAATTTATTGCTGTATAGGAAATGGATTTATTGCTGTATATACCTCCAGCAGTAGGGCGTTTTGTCTATCATTGTGAATAGTGTTCTTGACGTGGAGGTACGTTAATCGATCGCGCTGTGATTATGTTTGTGATTGTTCAATTTTAGAAGTGAATCGTTTCGTCTTATTGATTATTTGTGCGTGTTATTCATATTTTAAAGTTATGTATTTCAAGCGTTGTTTTTGTTCTATTTCAGGAGGGCCTCAATATTTGCACACGCATGGACCCTAGGAATAGCATGCAAGCACTCGCAAAACTGAACCGATCATTGTCCAAATAAGACCAAAAGGGACCATAAAGTGCATCACTATTTGGAAGAAGTCTAACTCATTTCTCTGAGTGTAGTTAGGCTCGCGGTTCACTACAATGACGACAATAGCGTGGCAACCGCGACCTGCAGTTGCGGAAGCGTTTTCTTCCGTTGCCGGCAGATTGATATCGGTAGTTGGCGTTTCGTCCTGGCAACGGTGGCAACGCTTGTGGCGACCATGCTCCTGCCGAGGAGCAAATTAAATGAAGGAGTATTTCCAGCTGAGAAATTCCGCTCTCGTCCCCGACACCGAGTTATACGTGATTAAAAACAAACCTCAAATGCCTTCTCATCCTACCTTGCACTTTAAGTTTGTGTCGATACGTGAATTTTTCGACGTTTGTTGCAAATAAAGTTTCTGAATTATTAATTCTATCTCAATCGTTCCGTTTAATGTTTGCACAATTATCGATTACAATTCATGAACTTAGTTCAATTTTGCTCGACTTGCAATTCACCCTGTGAGAAAAAGACAGAATGTTAATTTTCGATCTGCCTCTTAGTCATTGAAAAACAAGGCGTTCGAACAAAACTTCCCCCCCAGCGGGCATCTCATCATCAAGGTAGAAGTCAAACTGAGTTAGAACTAGTCATAAATAAAAAATAATCGCAAATACAATAATAGCGTCCCCTACCTAATTATCAGTTGCGCAGGGGAGCAGTCTGCGTCCCCTACCTAATTATCTGCTGTGCAGGGGGAGCAGTCTGCGTCCCCTACCTAATTATCTGCTGTGCAGGGCGAGCAGTCTGCGTCCCCTACCTAATTATCTGCTGTGCAGGGGGAACAGTCTGCGTCTCCTACCTAATTATCTGCGTATGAGGAGCGGTCCCCTAATTATTAAATAAGTAGGTTAAGGCGGTCCAGCGGTCGTTACGATGTTCGACAAGATTTGCGTTCACTTGCGGTGGCGGAGGACAGGCAAAGCTACGCTAAATTGTTTGTATGTACAAAATTTTATAAATTAATTCATTTCTGGTTTTGGCTTGAAGGAAATGAGATTACTTCTAGTGATCGAATGATTTGAACTTTATTCTTTACCAGGATCCGCGTAATTCAAATAAAAGCTGCAGAAAGTACAATTGAAAAGTAAAATTTTACGCTTTCGAATTTTTCTAATATGATTATTACGCAAAAGCAAACCTGAACATCGAAAAAGTGTTGAAGACCGCGAGGAAATAAGACATAAATATGTCCTAGTGTAAATGCTAACATAATAGCAATACGTCTGTAAATTTGAGATTATTATCAAAATATGTAAACGTATTAACCAAACTTGAATTAAGAACATTCCGCTTATCGACTGAATTAACTTCTGATTGTATTTGTGTTCTAGAATTTTCGAACCAACGATGGTGCTGGACTCCTCAATGGAGATACGGTAAATTTGTGCGTAGTTTTCTTCGCATTTAAATGATGTTTAAATTTAAATATTTAAAGTTTTCATCGCATTTAAATGTTCAATTTTCGCTTTCGGTAATGACTTCTTCAGTTGTAACGGCCTGGAGGCTCGAGCGCCGCTGCGGAGGAGTGAACAGCTCGTCGGTACTGAACAATGGGCCATTATCCTGTGAAAAAATGTACAATGTTGGCCCTAAAATGAAGGAGTGTCATTCCATTATAATTCAACCTGAGGTTCTGTATGGAGACCTCGAGCCGCTGTACTTGTGATAAATGAGAGAATTGTGATTAAAGAGCAAGCTTTAGACTTTTTTAGACATTGCATGAGCAATGGTGATTAATGAACAAGTTTTAACATGCCTCTTTGTTAGAGATGCTTGAGGTAAACATACATAAATTTCATGAATAAATCAAAGCGAAATTATCGCGTTTTTTTCAAACTCGAGAAATATTACTTTTCATTAAAGACATTTTCTCTTTACACAAAACATTAACTTTTTATATTCTAAATGTTGCATATAAGACTAAATATAGAAATACCGCATTCACTTTCGATTCCATCCCATACCTAAGAAAGAAGTATTCAACTCAGTATACAAGTAAATATTGTGGAAGGTAAATACTAACGAGGCCAATATTATACAACTTTACATTTAGTAAGAATTTAAAAAAAATCATGTCTGAAATATTTCGCTTATTTTTTTCTCTTTTTCGTCACGAAACAATAAAATATTAACACCCAATGATGAGCATGGATTCCCATAACGTATGTTTCCACGTCACGCGAACATGCACCAGGCGTCAGGGCAGAGTTGCACAATGCGCACGCTGCGGCCTAACAATGCGCGCGCCGCTCCGACACGCGAAGGAAAGCTTGAACACTGCGAACACTTACAAGTGTTCCGGTGAAGAAAGCTGCGATGTCGAACACTTTGAAGTGTTCAGTTGAAGTGTTAGGCAGTACATCGTTGTAATCAAAGGTCTAGCCTCATTTTTTTTCATAAAGGCACGATTCCCTGACTTATGCCCTCGATTTACTTTTTATTGCTATGTCTTAATGATAAAGTATATTTTTTCACTTCATCGTCAAATTAGAGCGTGAGGCTTCGTACTTTTTTTACAACACTTCTCTTTAACTTCACTTCTTGTTTGTCTGTCTGTCTGTCTGTCTGTCTGCTACAAATCTTATAATCGAAATTTAATACACTTCTACTTATCCTATCGATCTGAAATTTTGCACACTTGTGTAAAGTTGGAGACAATGCATGAATGAAATGTCAAAATAAATGATTTTATAAATTAAAATTTTTTTTCTATATTAAAAAAATTGAAAAAATACTTTTGTCAGCTACAAATCTTATAACCGATATTTGACACACTTTTACCTGTCTAATTGATCTGAAATTTTGCACACTTCTGTGAAGTCGGAGGCAATGCATCATGAATCAATTGGCAGAATAAATAATTATGAATTTTTTTATATATATTAAAAAAATTGAAAAATTAATTTTTCTAATATATGAAAATAAAAAGAGAAATTCATTGTACATATTTAACATTGGAGACTCTGGATTCTTTGGAAGTGTCGTCTTTAAAAAGTAATTTTGAAACGTATATTATTTGATAGAGTCTTATGTGAATTTTAAATGCAAATTCGTGTGTTTGGATTTAGCTTTCATACACTTCTGACCTTTCATACATTTTTTTTCGTTTGAAACTAAAATCTACTCTAGCTAGCATTCATTTTATTTACGAGTCATTATTACTACGAGCCCAGTAATATTAAGGCTCTGCGCCAAAGTTTAAATGTTTAAATACCCTAAATAACGTTAAACCTAACCCCACAAATAACATTATTGCAATAGTGAAGGTATGAACTCCTGACCATGTTGGCAATTCTCGCCACGTTCTCCGCAGCCCTGGTAAGATTATTATTGTTCAGCACACGAAACGTGAACTGCGCAACATGCACTGGGAGAAATAAGGTAAACTTTGTCCAAATATCGATGCACTTTTTGCCCTCCTATAGGACATCCTAACTCAGTTTGGCCCGGAAACAGGGCCAAAACAGGGCCAAAGAGGCTTATCAGTGTCTCTTCCGCTCTCTGCTCCAGCAGTGGGTTAAAAATTTTGCTATTATTTTGACTCGGAGTCCCATGTATTTTCCTGAGTGTGTATAGTTCAGGGTGCCTTTCTTTATTGTGTCAGAAGCAATAGGCAAGAACATTGGCCAGCATCCGGTCGCTATTGTTCGCGTTTGTCAGGAAATTAACTAATTTCTAAAGCAGCTCAGAATGTTGTTCAATATCCTGAGCTCAGGTATAACTGTACTGCCTGCCACACACGCAATGTGTCAGAGCTGCTGTTTTGTGGTTGAACTTTACTCGTGAACTTTATAATAAGTGAATTACTTCTGCTGCAACTAGTTTCATATCCAAACATTTTCAGAAAGTGATGTTTTCATTTTTTTAGAGCATTTTCTCATTTATGGAAAAAAGGCTCTATTGTGCTCGTCATGTCCGTCCGTCCGTCTGTCTGTTCGTCCGTGACTTCACGTTTTCGTGAGAAAATGCGCTCTCTGTCACTCACTGCAGTGAGTACTGAGTTATATTTTTTATTTGAATGGTGTAGTGTGATCACAATGAATGATGATAAGTTGACTCGGTGACTTCAACGCCAAGTTATTAATGATCCTGGGCGACTGGAAGCTACGTACGACATCGAACAACAGCATGCCAGTGATGGCAACGCCTGATATGTCATAATGCTTTTCTGATGATGGCAATTCTGCTGACAGGCCATTAGTTCATAGTAACATATAGGAATATGATTAACAATTATTGATGTGTTGATGTATGCACAATATCATTGATGAATATGGTGCACGATTGTAAAAAATAAATAGTAAAATTAATGCAGGTAGT